CCCCCCCCCCCCCCCAATATTTTGTCTGGTCGCTGAGTCAACGTGAAGCTGGACGACGAACGAGAAGGGAGGGAGGGGAGGTAGGAGAGAAGGGAGGGAGGGGAGGTAGGAGAGAAGGGAGGGAGGGGAGGTAGGAGAGAAGGGAGGGAGGGGAGGTAGGAGAGAAGGGAGGGAGGGGAGGTAGGAGGGAAGGGAGGGAGGGAGGGAGAATAAAAGGGAGGGATTCGACGATAGCCTGAAAGTAGTTTAGTTCTAGCTCTTGAGCCCTGTGTAGTTACTTCTCAGGTGTTCTGGGAAGCGTTTCAATCATGTCATTGTTGAGTTGATGAATGTTTCTCGCCTCCACTACTTCAGCACTCCCCACTCCACTTCTCTAATGGTGAAGATGTATTGCCTAGTATAGCTTTGGTCTATAGCTTCCATCCAGCCTTTTCCACGCCTCGTTCCCCATGCCAAACTATCTCTTCTAATTGTCCAATTAGCCCGTGGGTTTTGGGTTTTGAGGTAATATATGTAATGATTCTTGCCATCCTTGGTGATGTTAAGTTGACTTTGTTTAGTTCCTTGTCTCCTGTTGTCTCATGCGGTCCAGTTCTCGCAGTCTTCTCATGCCGGTGCTGCATACTGAAGAGTGGGTCTCTCATAGGTTGTTTATGAAAGTGACACAGTAGCAGTTTTTGTCCAAGTTCCAGCATCTCAGGTTATACACACTCTGGTTAGTTTGCCATTTTTTACCCTATTTTTCTAATGTGTGCCTCTGACGTTATTAGGTTTGGCGTATTCCTAGGTCCTTCTCGTTTTTTTTTTTTTTTTTTTTTTTTTTTTTTTTTTTTTTGAGATATATACAAGAGTTGTTACATTCTTGTACAGCCACTAGTACGCGTAGCGTTTCTGGCAAGTCCTTAATCCTATGGTCCCTGGAATACGATCCCCTGCCGCGAAGAATCGTTTTTTCATCCAAGTACACATTTTACTGTTGCGTTAAACAGAGGCTACAGTTAAGGAATTGCGCCCAGTAAATCCTCCCCGGCCAGGATACGAACCCATGACATAGCGCTCGCGGAACGCCAGGCGAGTGTCTTACCACTACACCACGGAGACTGCAACTGTTTGATGAAGGGGAGCTGTCTCCTCTTCCTTCTGTACCGTGGTTCGAGTCTCCTCATTCATTTTCCCTTTCTCTTAATTCTGTATTTTTCTGAATTCAAGTCCAGAAGATATATTTCAGACCTCTGGAATGTGCTAATTTCTCTCCACATGTAATCAGTCCATTCATATTAAGATCTTTCTAATTAGTTTAGCATCATCAGCAAATAATGATTTAAAGAGACCAATTTTCTCTTATTTGTTGATAACAGGATGGGCCCATAAGGCTCCACCGTGGTATTACTCCTGTTACGTCTCTCCACTCTGATATGCTCCCTCTCACTGTAGCTCTCTGATTCCTGCCTTAGAGGTACTCTCCTACCCAACCTATAATTGTTCTGGACACACCAGTCTGCTTCTCTAGCTTAGGTAGGAGTCTTGTGTGAGTAAGTCTGTATAATGCTGTATGACAATCGGTAAATAGCAGTCTCCTTCTCACTCTCCCTCTCTCTCACTCTCCCTCTCCCTCTCCCTCTCTCTCTCTCTCTCTCTCTCTCTCTCTCTCTCTCTCTCTCTCTCTCTCTCTCTCTCTCTCTCTCTCTCTCTCTCTCTCTCTCTCTCTCGCTCTCTCGCTCTCTCTCTGTCTCTCTCTCTCTCTCTCTCTCTCTCTCTCTCTCTCTCTCTCTCTCTCTCTCTCTCTCTCTCTCTCTCTCTCTCTCTCTCTCTCTCTCGCTCTCTCGCTCTCTCGCTCTCTCTCTCTCTCTCTCTCTCTCTCTCTCTCTCTCTCTCTCTCTCTCTCTCTCTCTCTCTCTCTCTCTCTCTCTCTCTCTCTCTCTCTCTCTCTCGCTCTCTCGCTCTCTCTCGCTCTCTCGCTCTCCTTCTCCCTCTCCTTTCATGCATCGTCTTGCTGTAGAACTTTACACTTGATAACCAGCATTTTCTTTTCATTAATTCACGTTGATGTATGGAGACACAATGTAGATGTTCTAAGTGTCCTTTACCTAGTCTCTACAGTACCTACAGGGGGATGCTTGTTAGTAGTCAGTAGTCCTTCCGTCAACAAGTAGTTCTTGCAAACTGATAACACAATAGCCATTTAAGAAGTCTGGAAGCTCTTCCTCTGCCATGTGAAGTTGAACACTAACAAAAGACTAACCCCCATGAAGCAGCCCGTAGCAGCTGTCTAACTCCCAGGTACCTATTTACTGCTAAGTAAACAGGTGCACCAGGTTGAAAGAAACTCTGCCAATTTGTTTCTGCCTCTGCCGGGGATCGAACCAAGGCCCTTCCCGCCAAACACACACGGAAACTACGACGTTGGTACAACATTCGAACAAGTTTTAACACTTCCTAACCAGTAATAACAATCAATATAGCAAGTTGTAACAACGTTCTATAATACGTCATAAACACGTTAAGCCAAGATGTAACAACTTACGAGTTGTAACAAGCGGAAAATGGAGACAGTTTCGGTTTGTGTTTCCAGGAAATTAGAACTCCGACCCTAGAGCACTGCCCAATCAGCCACGAGGCCCTCCTGTGTTTTTTTTTACATTGTGGGCCCCCCCCCCCCCGTGTCACATGTGTTTTAGTGATTGGGTAGTGCACATGTGTGGGGGGGGGAGGGGGTTGATGGCGTGTGTGCATTTGCCTGCATTCTTTCTTTTAGTATTTTCCAATAAAGTATCGCCAGCCCCACTACAGCTGCTGGCCGGCTGGGGGCCATTCTGCTGTATCTGGCTCCCAGGCTCACAAAATATTTTATGGAAATATTCTAGGAATTTATTCCAGAATTTAGTCCAGACTATATATTAAAAGGCAAATATTATATCCATATATATTAGATACGGCCGAAATATATGTAACACCTGTTTGAAAGTCATGTTAAATAAAATATATAAAATAGTATATAATATTGAGGGATATAAGCAGTAAGTAGTGGTTGTGCAAAATATTGGAGACGGACTCTGGAGCAGCAAATATAGGAAAGTAGGGGATATATATATAGGGAAGGTGATTTGTTGCTCAATACTGCTGTGCAAACTATCCTTGTCTGCAGGTGTCGTACTCCTATTGTACGACCCTTCATGCTGGGGTACGTGACACAGACACACCGTACAGCTCCCTATTACATCATATTAATAGTTCAGGTGCATGTATGCCTGGGGACCATTCAGGCTTGTTCGCGTTTGTGTTCCTCACGTGTGCTCCAAAGAATGAGATGATTTGATAAAATACTATGCCCAAGATTACCATCAGAGTGCCGGCGGGCTGATGGGGAAAATAGCTTCGGCTATCATCAGCTTTTGTCTGGTCGTGATGGTCGAGTGGATAAGGTGCCCTGTACACAAGTTGCATAGTCCTCCTGGCAGTATGGGTTCGAGTCACTTCTGGGGTGTGTTTTCATTTATATATTAACAGTGATGAATAGTTAATCATCTTCTGTTGTATTTCTCCCCATTTCCTCCTATAAATTGGAACTGAGAATTATCTGGCATAGTTGTGAAGAATTAGTTATCACTCTGTTTACTTTATTGTATTATAAATCGTTGGCTTAAAATATAAAAAAGTCTATGCCTAACTCGTTTTCTTTGAAATAGTCTGGTTTCCTGTAAATAATTCTAAGGAATACTCAAATAGTTTTTGAATTTCATAACTGAAAAGTTTGAGATTAAAATAACCATACCTAACCTAACCTAATCTAACGTAATCTTAACCTAACCAAGGATGGAGAGTAAATAACAGCACTAATTATGTAATGTTTTTGAAGTGATTACCTCAAGAATACCTCCTTCCTGAGGACAGGTTGCCCTAAGATATGTTCTAAAATACATCATCTTAAGATATATCACCCTAAGGTATAACCTAAGGCACATCACACTAAGATACATCACCCTAAGGTACATCATCCTAAAATACATCACATTAAGATACATCACACTAAGATACATCACCCTAAGATACATCACACTAAGATACATCACACTAAGATACATCACCCTAAGGTACATCATCCTAAAATACATCACCCTAAGGTGCATTACCCTTAGGTACCTCACCCTAAGGTACACAAGAATAACAGTAATATATAACCTGTAATAATATTACGAGGAGGATTTTCTAACAAAAAAACAAAAACTCGTGTTAAAATTCCTCTTTTTATAAAAGATCTTGCTGTTGTTGTTGTTGTTTGTTGAGGCAAACTTTAGTTGTGAGCCGCTTCCTTTGTTGAGCGAGGCTTTGTTTGCAGCTTCCGGCTCCCCCCTCAATGGTATCAGGCTTCAGAGTTTTCCTGTGAAAATCCTCCAGAGGCCGTGACGGCGGTTTGGTGCTTATCTCTGCCGCGGGGAGCACCAGGCTACGGCCTGGGGCAGGGGTGGGGGGGGGGGGAGCATGACATGGTCCCAGGGTGTTCCACCATCTTTCGATAATACGAGTATACGTGAGGTGTGTGTGTGTGCTCACCTAGATGTGCTTGCGGGGGTTGAGCTCTGGCTCTTTGGTCCCGCCTCTCAACCGTCAATCAACAGGTGTACAGGTTCCTGAGCCTACTGGGCTCTTATCATATCTACACTTGAAACTGTGTATGGAGTCAGCCTCCACTACATCACTTCCTAATGCATTCCATTTGTCAACCACTCTGACACTAAACAAATTGTGACACACACACAGTGTGTGTCACAATTTGTAGAAGGAAGGGTAGGATGAGAGGGCTTGTTTCTCACCTGGTTCATGGGGGGCACTCGTGCACATGTTCGCCGCATTAATGATACCGAGGCAAAAGTAGAAGACTCAGGAGAGGTAGTGTAACACTTCATTAAGTCCGGCAGTGAACAAAAGAGGGGGAGTATGGTAGAGCAATGATGGACTATCCTACTTATTGAGCATGAGAGGATTGCAATTAATACTCACAATATCTTTATAGTTCAGTAACATGAATTTATTAAACCAGGCAAATGCATTCTTTGAATTTGTTAGGGTGTGTTAGTAAATCCAAAGAAGGCACTTGAGTATAAATGTTCATGGTATCTTAACACGGATTAAGTGCTTATTGATTACAGCAGGTAAAGTGCATGAACCAGTAATTACAGGAATGTTCTCTACTTTCTTTGCCCTTTACCCAGCATAACTGACCCTTTCCCTTCTATGATCTCAGACGTGCCCCCCCAAGGCCAGACTCAGCCATGGCCCTCATGCCCAATTTCCTGGAGCTGTCTCCTAGGCCCTAAGTTACAGAACATGGCTTCAAGCACCCCACAGAGATGGGGGGACTTTATTTGGCTTTCCTATTGACCTCTCAAACTCCTCCCCAAAGTTCTGGCTGGTTCAGTGACCTCACCTATAGGACCCGGCCTGTCGGGTTCCTCTGTGCCCTTGGCTACATTATTGTCCCTTCTTCTCATGCCTGTCAAAGCCATCAGGACTTCCTCTCTCTATGTAGTTCCATTGATACAGGGCAAAAGTTAATGGATATTCAACTGCGGCTCAGCCATAGGTCGTCCTGCACCACTCAGAACCGTTGAGCACTCTTCCTGAACCCCCTGGTGTTCTCAAAGGCACCCTGCAAGCGTTGTTACATTATAGGCAATGTTTTGCATTTTGGAACATTGCCGGTGGGCAAATGATGGCTTTCCCTTCACTGGCGCCCCTTTCTAAATTCACTAGTGGACAACTGACCTTAATGAAGGGGACACATAGTTCATGAACTCTGGAAGGACTTTTAGCCAAGATGAGTTTCTCTCAGTAAGTACCTCATGTGGTCTTTTTGCAGGCGAGGAGTCCCAATAACGTGGCTGAAGTATGTTGACCAGACCACACACTAGAAATTGAAGGGACGACGACGTTTCGGTCCGTCCTGGACCATTCTCAAGTCTCAAATCAAGTGATCTTTGCTTCTACATTGTGCTTACACATCTGAAGGAATTTTGTCCATGGTAACATTGTTATGGTGGTGGTCTTAAAGAGGAAGGAGTTTCATTGTGGTGTCTACCAGCTGCAGGGCGTGGTGGTCGGCAAGCTTGTGTGGTGGTGGTGGTGGGTGGTGGCTGAGGTCATCTATGGGGGCGTGGGGCATGGTGGTCACTTGCCTCTGGTGGCTACCCGGGGTGATGGTCGACATGCGGCAGAGGTCACACGCCACTAGCCTGGCACTCTTGTCTGTGCCGCTGCCTGGCACTCGTACGAAGGAACGCAAGGGCGCTCCCACCAGGAACGGTGCCACCATTCTCACACGATGGCAGGAACCTCCTTTACCTTTGCCTGGTAAAATGGGCTAAAATTAATAATCATTCTGGGAATTTTGCAAAATTCCCAGTATAAATTCCCATTTTTTTATATTTTTTGCAAAATTTAAAATGTGCTAAAAATAACTTTCATACTGCATAGCAAAATTAAAACTGGGAATATAGTTGCAGATCTGAAATAATATGGAATAATATAATTCATATTAATTTTAATAACATAATTTCCTATACATAAATATATATTTACCTAGTAACTGGGATGTGTTAAGAGGTGCAGTCGATGAGGGGCCACCTGCACAGTGCTCAGGTGAACACAGTTACCTGAAGAACACACGTTCCACACCTGTCAGAAAGTGTCATGTCAAATTAGCACTGCTGGTTTATTTTTTTTTACCAAATTTGAAGTACATCATGACAGATACTAAACCATTATCCAGAACACAGTAAGTAAACTTTCCAAGTCTGATTAGCACAAGTCTGGAGGTCCAGGTAATTGGTTGATTAAATGATCAGTTTGTTTTAGGGTATTAATCATTTCAAGAATGTTTAAGTATAAGATATGAAGATGTATATATTCATTGGTGGGGGATGCTTGACTACATGTTAAGATTATCTGGACGGTCGTGGCAACCATGATGGCACCATCTGGACGGTCGTGGCAACCATGATGGCACCATCTGCACGGTCGTGGCAACCATGATGGCACCATCTGCACGGTCGTGGCAACCATGATGGCACCATCTGCACGGTCGTGGCAACCATGATGGCACCATCTGCACGGTCGTGGCAACCATGATGGCACATTAGGGCTGAGCGAGCATCTGGTACCACAAGGGGTCCAGGAGTCCCTGGAGAAATCAGTGCGACTCAGGTTCTGTGGCAGTGGTGGTAGTAGTGGTGGCAGTGGTTGTTGTAGTAGTAGTGGTGGCCCAAGACCCCCAGGGTTCCCAAGACCCCCCAGGGTTCCCAAGACCCCCCAGGTTCCCAAGACCCCCAGGTTCCCAAGACCCCAGAGGGTTCCTAAGACCCCCAGGTTCCCAAGACCCCCCAGGTTCCCAAGACCCCCAGGTTCCCAAGACCCCCAGGTTCCCAAGACCCCCAGGGTCCCAAGACCCCCCAGGTTCCCAAGACCCCCCAGGTTCCCAAGACCCGCCAGGTTCCCAAGACCCCAAGGTTCCCAAGACCCCCCAGGTTCCCAAGACCCCCCAGGTTCCCAAGACCCCCAAGGTTCCCAAGACCCCCAGGTTCCCAAGACCCCAAGGTTCCCAAGACCCCCAGGTTCCCAAGACCCCCCAGGTTCCCAAGACCCCCAAGGTTCCCAAGACCCCCAAGGTTCCCAAGACCCCAGGTTCCCAAGACCCCCCAGGTTCCCAAGTCCCCCCAGGTTCCCAAGACCCCCAGGTTCCCAAGACCCCCCAGGTTCCCAAGACCCCCCAGGGTTCCCAAGACCCCCCAGGTTCCCAAGACCCCCAAGGTTCCCAAGACCCCCAAGGTTCCCAAGACCCCCAGGTTCCCAAGACCCCCAGGTTCCCAAGACCCCAAGGTTCCCAAGACCCCCCAGGTTCCCAAGACCCCCAAGGTTCCCAAGACCCCCAGGTTCCCAAGACCCCCAGGTTCCCAAGACCCCCCAGGTTCCCAAGACCCCCAAGGTTCCCAAGACCCCCCAGGTTCCCAAGACCCCCCAGGTTCCCAAGACCCCAAGGTTCCCAAGACCCCCAAGGTTCCCAAGACCCCCAGGGTTCCCAAGACCCCCCAGGGTTCCCAAGACCCCCAGGCTCCCAAGACCCTTGTCGGATGTGGCCTCTGTTGCTTGATGTATTCCATTTACAACAAGCGCGAACGCAACCCATAATGACACTCGAGTGCACTGGTGACTGTTGCAGGGCTCTGTGGAACACCTGTGTTGCATGGCTCTGTGGAACACCTGTGTTGCAAGGCTCTGAAGAACACCCATTTGTCTGCCGGCGCCGGGAATCGAACCCGGGCCACAGGATTACGAGTCCCGCGCGCTGTCCACTAAGTTACCAGACCCTAATATGTGTGTGTGTGTAATTACCTAAGTGTAGTTACAGGATGAGAGCTACGCTCGTGGTGTCCCGTCTTCCCAGCACTCTTTGTCATATAACGCTTTGAAACTACTGACGGTCTTGGCCTCCACCACCTTCTCACAAAAAGGTAAAGGAGGTTCCTGCCATCGTGTGAGAATGGTGGCACCGTTCCTGGTGGGAGCGCCCTTGCGTTCCTTCGTACGAGTGCCAGGCAGCGGCACAGACAAGAGTGCCAGGATAGTGGCGTGTGACCTCTGCCGCATGTCGACCATCACCCCGGGTAGCAAAAAACTTGTTCGAACGTTGTACCAACGTCGTAGTTTCGGTGTGTGTTTGGCGGGTGCCTGATTAACCTCAAAATAATTTATCTTTATCTACACACAGAAATCACAATAACGTGATGTATCAAATGAACAAATCCACAATGGCCGTGACGAGGATTCGAACCTGCGTCCAGGAGCATCCCAGACGCTGCTTGGATGATATTGACATAGTTCGAGTGCATGAATGTGTGTGTGTGTGTGTGTGTGTGTGTGTGTGTGTGTGTGTGTGTGTGTGTGTGTGTGTGTGTATGTGTGTGTGTGTGTGTGTGTGTGTGTGTGTGTGTGTGTGTGTGTGTGTGTGTGTGTGTGTGTGTGAGGTGCGTGCGAGCGATGTTTAACCGTTCTTATCACGAATATTTTAACAACTGTTGTGCTCTACTGGTAACCTCCAGTTTTGTGTTTTTTAAAGTAATTTTTCTCTCATTAACAAACTACAAAATAAAACACCGTTCTTTCCCAGCGATTTAGATGACCAGTGACAACCCGTCAAGCCATTATAGAAGTTTTTATGACGTATTATCATTATGTAAATTTAACACCAAAATATGTGGAAGCATAAAGCATTTTATTATAATAACAGTGTTACTGTTAGATGTGTTGGTCTGTGATGGGAGGTGGGGCCCAGGCGCTGCGTCCTGTGAGTGATAGCAGCTGTTATGTCCACAGCTGTCATCTCAAGCAGGATATATTTAGATAGATATACTCTTGTTAAACATGATATAGTATATGGCCAGCAGCTGTCGTCTCAAGCAGGATATATTTAGATATACTCTTGTTAAACATGATATAGTATATGGCCACCAGCTGTCGTCTCAAGCAGGATATATTTAGATATACTCTTGTTAAACATGATATAGTATATGGCCACCAGCTGTCGTCTCAAGCAGGATATATTTAGATATACTCTTGTTAAACATGATATAGTATATGGCCACCAGCTGTCGTCTCAAGCAGGATATATTTAGATATACTCTTGTTAAACATGATATAGTATATGGCCACCAGCTGTCGTCTCAAGCAGGATATATTTAGATATACTCTTGTTAAACATGATATAGTATATGGCCACCAGCTGTCGTCTCAAGCAGGATATATTTAGATATACTCTTGTTAAACATGATATAGTATATGGCCAGCTGCTGTCTTGTTAAGTATGATCTTGTATAAAAGTATGTAAACAGCTTGACAAGAATGTTAAATAAACAGTTTGTCAAGCATGATATGGTATAGAAACAGCTTGTCAAGCATGATATGGTATAGAAACAGCTTGTCAAGCATGATATGGTATAGAAACAGCTTGTCAAGCATGATATGGTATAGAAACAGCTTGTCAAGCATGTCATGTTAAATAAACAGCTGTCTTGTCAAGCTGTATAAACAGCAGTCTCCTATGTTGACATATTTCACCATTATCAAATTTATCTTATCGTCTAAATATGTAGTGGACTCGTACTGTATGCGGGGAACTCATACGAATTATCTCATCTGTTTCTATGAAGGAGAAACGTTTGGGCGCTGTTGGAGGTCAGACGCCTGGGGCTAGTCTCATTAAACACTATAAGATTAATGGTTTATTTTATCGGGAGTGACATAGGGGGGGAGGGAGTGGGAGGGGTCGTCCCAGTAATCTCATGAAAGGGGGGTGGAACGGCCCCAGTGCCCCTCCTTCATGAAATCTGTGGTGTGTGAAATGTTCAGTGAATAACTCCATAGACTTTATTTATGTAGATTGTAATTAATTAAGATAATCATTTTGGAAACATGTTCAGATGGTAGATTGGCTTTCATGACACAACCTTTTGGTTACATTCTCGGGGGAGGGCATGTGGTCTAGGGGTTCAGGATGGGCGTAGGTTAGCCGGGGTCAGTTCCACTAAGATGGGGTAAATCCCAATAGTGATCCCCTCAGAAAACTGATGATAGGTGACTAAGTCCCTCCATGTCCTCACTGGAAAGTGATGAATGTGAATTCAGTATTAAATGGAAATGTCTGTTCAAGTTTGGAGGCCAGACAGGGAAGGAGAGAAAGAGGGCAAAAAGAGAGGAAATGGAAATTGGTAAGGAGATGGGGGGGGGGGTGTGAGGTGAAGGGGGAGCAGCACATTAGGAGGGGAAGAGGGGGAGGATGAGAGAGACTATCCTGGGCATCACCGGTTACCCTCCTATTATTTACTAACTTGACCTCAGGGAGGAAATATGTTCACGGGAATGGATTGAGAATGACTACATAATTAGTGTTATTATCTACTTTATATGTTTAGATTAAAATTTGGTTATGTTTCATTATAATTGGTTACCTAAATATATTATTTATAATGTAAAATATGGAATTCGAAAACTATTTGAGTGTACCCTAGAATTTGGTTTACAGAAAAAACTAAATTCTTCAAAGAAAACATTTTCAGAATATATGTTTAATATTTAAAACAATGCTTTATATTACATTAAAGTTATAACTTAAAAATAAATAATGTTCAGGACACAGGTTCACTTGTCAGTTTACATCTAGACTACTGAAACTGTAATATTCTTCTAGACCATCACAAATATCTAGATAACTATCCAAGTGGTTTGATGGGGGGGGGGGTGATTTCTCATGGTAATGGATTTCCTCTGAGGATGGGCTCCCTATTATATAATATATAAACTGAATATATATACTAGTGTGTATGTACATGTCAGGGCTTCAGTGTATATCTGCTGTGAGAAGTGCCTGTGTGAAAGCGTGTATGTTAATGTGTATATGCATGAATTCGTACATGTGAAATACACGTATGTGTGTTATCTCATTTGAAAGTCAAAGGCTTGTGTCCATTTCACCATCCTCCTCAATATGCTCCCTGGCGGATATTGCAACACCAGTTCTCACAGACAAGTACAGTGTTGTATCATATCAAACACGGCCGGAAACACGGACCACTGTACACGGTCGACTGAGAACGTGTCCCAAGCAACACGGATGACAGGTATCC